CCAGCCACGTGTAGCCTTGGCTCTTTGGAAAAATAGGGGCTAAGGGTAGTGAAGACCTATTATAAAACTACTTTTTAGGAATGGGGAACACCCATGCTGGGGTTCTCCAAATGAGAGCAGAACGCAACATAAACAATGGGACCTGTACTAAAGCTAACAGTTTCCCAACTGGGAAGATTCACCACAATTGACTGTTAAGGCATTTAGAACAAAAGAATCATGAAGATTCATTAGCACTAAGCGATGCACTCAAAAGATAACTTAAGATATTAATCGCAGAAAATGATGAAAACTTGCATTCAGTAAAACCGGTGACTTAACCTGTGAAGCAGTTTAAGCTAAGCTCAGAAAGTTGTAGCTAGTTTGCATCCTTCAAAATTGTATAGGTTAAGTACAGACAGTGATTTCTCAGTTATTTTAAGGGCAAAATATAATATGCATTGGCAATCCAGTGCCACCTATCTAGTATGGTCTCAACAACTTGCACAATTACTATGCTACTAGCATTTTCCAGAGTTTCAAGCAACATGCTTTATTCGGAAATGAAGTGTTTCAGTATGTACTTGTTCATAGAATAATAATGTGCAAAATAGCTTAATAACTGCACCTTCTACTGCAGCAACATTAGAAAGGGCATAGGCTAGAGTGCAATGAAGCCATGCTGCATACAAATTTATTGTGGTATATCAATTGCAACAACTTTGGAAGTGAGAGTAATTGTTCTTACGGAGATTCAGAGCCCGTTAACAATATGCCAGCCTAGTTAACTATCATTCTAATCCTCAATTCTAAAGCTCTGTAGTAAATGTGCCTCAGGCCTCTCTGTAGTTAATGTGACTCAGAGAGGCAACGCCAATTAATCCACCAAGTAGAATCTAAATTCTTCATATCATCATTACAATGTAGTAGGAATGATAATCAAAGATTTATGACGGTGAAGAAATCTGAGGATTGGAAATTGTGAAGGTTTGTCAAATATGTAGGTGTGTTCTCAAACACATCATCATTGCTCAATAAATTGCCTGTTGTAGCAATATTACTCGAGAAGAGTACATAAATAGCACGTTTAATACTGTTCCTCAATAAGTATCACCGCAATTGTCCCCCACAGCTAAGCCTAGGTAGAAAGAAATGCAGTTACTGTCTGGAGTAAGGAAAAATCAGTTTCATATAATTTAATATATATGTGTCTCCCCATTTTCTATTTTGATCAGTGAAGATCTTCTGCACACTCCAAACTCCCAAACCCTTCTATCAGAAGACAATCTAGACAGCTGAAAGGCAAAGGCATCTACTTGGTATTGGGGGAAAAAATCTTAACACAGTGCACTTCATCAAGAAGGTAATGCCCAGCTTATTTAAATTAAATGACTCAATAAACACAATCGGACAAAAATTAACATATATGATTCTGTATTTTGAGCAATTCCACTCTCTGTAGTGACTTCCATTCAAATTTTCAGGTACCATCGATTCAAGTAAATGCCACAATTCTGAAACATATTCAAATTATTAATTTTCACTTCACTGATAATCAACTACATACTCACATTGTACAATCATTACAAAGCATAATTTACAATTCTAATCTCTCATCAAAGAAGGGGACATCACAAGACCCCAGATACAAAAAGTTCCCTACATTAATCAACATATTAACAAAACTAAACTAACCTTAAACTGAGAATGAAATGGATGATACCCATGATTGCTATACCCAACTTTGGGGGGTGCAACCACGCTGCCACCGCCAACAGCCTTCCCGGCTTCACCCATCTCCTTTCTCTCACCTTCAGCCGCCTGTGCTCCGTCTTCACCCCACTCTTGCTCTTCCATCGGTTGGTTCAGCTCACCATCAGCCACAATAACGAGCCCGTCTTCATCGTCGTCGTCGCCTTCAGCGTTGCCACCTATCCCGCCTCTCTCCATAGCCATAGGCCCGTGGTTGTTATCATTCAACACTATCTGCAAATCGTCCTCGCTATCGTCACTGTCCCAATCATCTTCGCCTCTCTCGCCTTCCTTTCTAGAACCTTCCGGGTTTCCTATATTGACCGCCGAATCATTCACCGGCAAGGTTTCCGATAGCCCTGGAATCACCGGGTCCAAACCCATATCATCAGTTTCATTGTTATCCTCCTCGATGTCGAAATTCACATCCTTGTCCATCAAATCCACAGTTTTACCACCGATATTAGAATCCACGGAATCGACTTTTGGTAATTCAACACCTTTATCCTCCAAACCCCTAGACCCACCTGCTGAATCCGCATCTTTAGTCGAATTGGCGGGGACAGAGTCGGCGGGAGCTAGGGTTTGGGTATTCGGTGGGTGGGGAAGAGAAGGATTAGAGTGAGGAGCTGCATATAGGATCTCGTCCTCTTCGTTACGGAGGTTGAGATCGATCGGACGGTGAGGTTGGGGTGCAGTGGAGGGTTGGTGGGGCTGCGGCGCAGAAGATGATTGGGACGATTCAAAGGGTCTAAGAACGTCTGTGTAGAGATCTCCGAATTCGTCATCGTCTTCCATCTAAAGGACGGAGCTTTAGAGAGAGAGAGAGGAAGTGTTTGTGTGTGTGTGTGTGTGTGTGTGTGTGAGAGAGAGAGAGAGAGAGAGAGAGAGAGAGAGAGAGGGGGAGGGTTTTGAGGTCTGCAAGACTGCAGGAGCCAAAGAGTGAAGCAATGGCCAATATGTAAAACTTAAAATGTTGCTTCTAATATGTTTTCCCCAGTTTACATTCCGAATTTCTTTCTTAAATTCCAAATTCCAATACCCAAAATGTATTTATTAATTATTATTATTATTATTTAGGTGATAGAAATATAAGCTCCTAATTTTGGGTTTCTCTTTCCACTTTTGCTTATGGAAATGGGTAAACATGACATGGGCTGCCAATTGAGATGTCCTCTGTTGTTGATGGGTTAAAGACTTGACTTGAGAGCTCTGTTGTTGTGCCACTTTTGGGTTGGCTACTTGGGTTGAACAAGCTTTCGTTGGTGTGTGTTGTACTTGTAACTTGTAACTTGTGAACACTTTTCCTTTTTCTTTTTCTTTTTTCTTTTTTTTTTGGCTGAACAAAAGATCCTCCCTTGGCCTATTGTTGAAAAGGCATTGAATTTTCACCAAAAGAAAGAGGCATTGTAAATTGTAAAAAAACCATTAAAGCTTGAGCATGCCTTCTCATTTTGACAATTTAATACCGAATATCCAATTCCAAAAATAAAATCCAAATTTAAGACAAACCAGCTAGGCCTCAAGCTTTTCTGGCTTGGACCCTCTTCAAATGGTATTTGGTCTTCAAGCATAAGTTTCATGTTACTTATTTTTATTCTACACATTCTTTTGTCACCAATAGCTAGTCTGATATTATATTGTTTGGTTTTTTTCCCCATATGGCAATATATATATAAGACCACAAAAATAAATTAACAATTTTTTTTATCTATATATCATCAATTTAGTTATTCATCTAGTAGTATACTTTTGACCAATATTAGAAGATGTCCTATTTGAGTCATCGTCCCCATAGATGAAAAAGAATAACAATGTCCTTGTTTGGTGGGTAAGATAAGGAGTATGATTGGATTTGCGTAATTCAATTTCATGTTTGGTGTTAAAAACGAAAGTGAATAGGATAAAGGATAATTTTATTATGTGTTTTTTTTTTTAAGATAATTGTATTACCAATAAGGTGGGATACATAATCCAACTGTTCAAATCCCTTGATATTGGACTCAAGTTTCGAGAGTCTACAAACACTCGGGACACTAGTGCCAATAAATGATATATATAGTTAGGGGCGGATCTTAAGCCAGGGCAAAAAATATTTCACTAAAAAAAAAACCTATATATAAGCTATGTAATTGATATCCATTCCATGTGTTGGTATACACTCTTGCCTACCCAATCCATATAAAACCCACAGCACAAGCCCACTCAAACTTTAAAAAACTGAAGAAAAAAATTTTTATAACCAGCCAGCCCATGTTATGAATGGCCCAGTCAAACTTTAATAAAAGAAAGAATATAACTTAAGCAGCCAAATAATGGCTGTGCAGTGCAATTCCAGACAGAGTCAGGAGAGCTTCTTCTCAACGCAAGTCTTGGCTGTGCTGTGCAATCGTGGACACTGGACAACCTCTTCTCTTCTCTTCTCATATACAAGGAAACAAGTATTCTTCTTAATCTATTCTCTTTAATTATCTTCTTTTATTGGGTTATTCCATTGGATCGAGTTTTTAAGGTAAGTTTCGCCTACCTAACTTTTGAATCCTGGATCCGCCACTGTATATAGTCAATCCCCTTATATTGAGGGATACCCTTTAGGGTATCTTACAAAAAAAATTCCAACAATCGAAACCATCTATTTAGACATCTAATGGTGTCCTATAAAATCAATGAATACGATGTTTCAAGAAAGTACTAAAATTTCAATAATTTAATCGAGTGGTCAAATGATATCATCTTCAAGTGATTTTTTGGAGAGATAAACTTCGAATGAATATATACAAAATAGACGATTTGGATTAATGAAATACAATGTAAGGTGGAACCTACAAGGATGTCCCTCAACAGACACACAACGGGAGAATGGTTTTTCACACACAGACACACTCATACTCGCATACACACACTACTAATGTGTCATGGAGGTTCAAAACTAAGACCAATAAAGAATACCAATTCTATTCAATCCAATCTAATACAATTCAATTATATTCGCCAAACAAAAAGGAAAAACAAATAACACTCATAAAAGAATATCGGGGAATATTAAAAAGTAAATAATGTTGAGACACATAAAAATAATAAAATAAAATAAAAAGCTGCCGGTCCAGACCGGCGCAAAGAGGAGCGAGTCGAGTGAAAATACTGAATACAGAAGTGAGTTACGGTGTGTAAAAGTTGTGCTTCCGAAATCGGATCTGCATCACCACCACCATCTCTGTATTCTTCGAAATTCTTGAAATAGAAGAAGAAAAAGGAAGAGGTGGATAAGAATGATTGGGGTTGGGAAGATCAAGCAATACTCTAATGTCCTCGACAAGCCCCTCAGCAAGGGAAAACAAGAGGTCCTCTCTCTCTCTCTCTCTCGTTTATTCAGTTTTCATTATTTCATGCATTTTCTCTGGAACCAAACTGCGTTTCATATCCTTTTGCATCGCTATGATATGCTTGATCAGATTACCTTAATCCTCACTAAATGGTTGCATTTTGTGGGATCTCTGTATGTTGGGTACTGGGATTTAGGAAAGCAAAATTACAATCCTTAACTAAATGTTTAAATTTCATTCATTTCTAACTGTTATGCTGCAAATTTATACTCAACTGACCTTTATCCGAGTTCTGAGCACCTGGGTCTTTTCCTTTATCGAATTTTACGATAGATTGTGATTTGGGCAATTTGATCCGGGTTAAATACTTACTTGGTTGCCCATTTTTGCATTTGATTTTTGTTCCAGGTCAGTTTGAGTGCGTTTGCATTCTTGTTTTCGGAGCTTGTGCAGTACAACCAGACACAGGTTGACAACATTGCCGAGTTAGAACGCAGGTGATTCAAATTACTATCATAAGTACATGTTATAAGCTGTGGGCTTACACTTTCATCTGAAATGAACTTCTGAGTTTGATTAGGTTAGCTGGTTATGCAACTCTTAGCTGGTAATTGAGTAATGAAAAGATTATTGCTCAGAATCGTTTGGTTTACTAGTATTGCCAGTTTCTTCTGCAACCTAAAAAAAAGAAGACCAGAGATGGAATTGGAAAATGGAAGTGAAACAGCATGAAGATCTTGAGATTTGGTGTGAAAGAAACAATTAGCAAAGACAATTTCTTTCCTCTAAGCTCTCCATCGACTTCTCCTGAAATTCTAATATATGTTTGGAACCATAGTTCAATAATGCTTTATGTAAATTGAGCAGGCTGGAGGATGCAGGATATGCTGTTGGGGCTCGAGTTCTGGAGCTTCTTTGCCATAGGGATAAGGTAGGAATTGTTATTGAACAGAAATATCCCTAGATTTAAGTTTTTATAATCACAACATCAAGAGACCCTTACTTCATTTTGGGAGTAAGTAGGGATGGCAATTGGGTACCCATCTATTCTGGCTATAACTCTAATAAGGTTTTCACCACCACCACCACCATTGCCTCCTCAGGGTTATAGCCAAAATAAACAGGTACCCAATTGCCATCCCCAGTAAGTGAGAAATAATAGGCAGATATCAGTGTTTTTGGTTTATGAGATATTCTCTATCTATAAGTTTCTCAGTGAATATCATGCTGGTTATTTCACAATCAATACTCAGTACCAAGAATAGGTATCTTCTCCATTTGTCTATGTTGTTTTAGCCTGGATGGATGAACATGTGAGGCATCCATCTCTTTGTTTAAGTTGGCAAGTTCCCACTTATTGAGTGTTTGGAGCTAATGATTACTGGATATGTTGTTTTAGTCTCTGTACACTTTGGATACATAATGACCCAATTGGATTCTTTGAATATACTGCTAGTTCATAGTTAGAAACCCAATTTACTTAATGTAGCAAATGCTTTCAGTTGTGGTTATAAACTAATTTCTAGGTGGAAGAAGAAATTGTACTTAAGGATTAATGCAGTGTGCTCATCTTCTTGGAATTGTAATATGACAATGTTATCCTGATGTTTTGGAACCTAGAACTTTAATGGTCCAATTTCATAACAAACTATATGTGTTTGTGGATTTGGATATAATCTTTTTATTGAGTTTGACTCAAATGCTATATTGATGGTTCTTTTCTGCCACAGGGAAACAGAAGGGAGACAAGGTTATTGGGTATCCTGTCTTTTGTGCATAGCACTGTGTGGAAGGTGTTATTTGGAAAGGTTAGTGCTTTTGCTTTGCCTTCTTTTATCTTTTCGATTTTTAGGGGAGCTTAATGGCTGAAATACAACACCATGTACTTATCCTTGGGAACTATGTTAACTGCTTCTTGGTGCCTGAAAATTAGGTAGCCGATTCCCTTGAGAAAGGCACTGAACATGAAGATGAGTACATGATTAGTGAGAAGGAGCTCCTTGTGAACCGGTAACTGTTTCTGCAGTAATGATAGTTTATACCGCTTGCTGTTACAGTTAGCTGGATCTATAGGTTTTGGTTATCTGTTGCTTAATCTTTGGTTATCCGGCTAATACACAATTTTTGGGTTGTAGATTTATTTCGATTCCAAAAGACATGGGAACCTTTAATTGTGGAGCATTTGTTGCTGGAATTGTGAGGGTAAGTTCCATGGTACTTTCTTGCTTGTTAATTGATTTATCTGGTGCTTGTAAGGTCTGATTGGCATTTCCTTCTCCTATGAAGGGTGTTTTGGACGGTGCTGGTTTTCCAGCTGTAGTAACAGCTCATTTTGTACCAGTGGAGGGTCAGCAACGACCTCGAACAACCATTTTGATAAAATTTGCTGAAGAGGTGACTGATTATTATTTACATTAATCTTTCATACACGGCAGATGGGTGTTTATTTGCCATGTTATTCTTGTAAACGACAAAGAATGAATTTTCAGTTAATGGGAGTGAGTACACTTGCAAATTATACACATCCACGGTTCACCTGCCTGTGTATTTGAAAGTCCACTATGCTAGATTTCTTGTTCCATTTTAGTCTTTGTATTATAATCTTGTCTGTTTCTTTTCCCTCTGCAAGGTACTACGAAGAGAAGCAAGGTTAGGTTGACGCTCGTGGCAAGACTATCCCATTATAGTTTACCCAGTGCCTCTCCATAGTACAATGAAGAAGGTTGAAACTTACAGCTGCATTGTCAAGCTAATGAAATTTCCACCTCTAAACTTATCAATCAGACTTGTGGCAATTCAAATTCCCACATTGGTTAATTCACTTTGTAAGCTATGGCTCGATGCTGATTTGAAAGTAGCTACTATTGTAAGTGTGGTTCATCTAAACAAGGAAAGGAAAAGCAAAACAGTTTATTTTCTGCGAATTCTGTTGTTTATAGGAACTCGAATGACTGTTGGCCTTGTCTTGAAAGAAGCCTCATTTTATCCTCAAAATGGTTAACAAACCACGTCTCGTTGAAACCTTTTTTAATTTTTTGGTTTATCATATGGGTTTTTTTTTTTTTTTTTTTTTTTATAAAACAATAAACTCTCACACACAACATAGATGCTAAGACTCAAATTACTCAAAACCACTACATTAGTGTATCTTTTGCTCACAAGAGGGCTTAAACGCTAGGTTGAAAACTTTTTGAGTTATATTTGTTTTGAGTACAAGCGAACGTGAAGGGGGTTTACACAAATATTTATTGAATGCATGAGTGTTTTGAACTTCTGCTCGCATTAGGTTGAAGTGGATGACTCAAACAACTAATAAGTTACCCTGCTGGCTTTTGAATTATATATATTTTTTAGGACATGGTTATTTTTGGTCAAGAAAGAAACTTGATGAAAAAGGAGAAACAACCGATCTCACGACCTAATAATATATACTAAAACTGAATAAAAGATATTGTTCCTAGACTGTAGCTTAGGAATAGTTAAATGACATTTGTGCCCCTGCTTAATTGGTTGCCCTCTTAATTATGTTCAGTAATGAACAGTATAATGGCATTTTTGCCCTAATGCACAGCGACATAACCCTTTTGTCTGATCGCTTCTTTTTGGAGAAACCAAAGCCGCTTCATCGAAAAGAAGTGAGAGAGGGGCCTCAGAGATCATAGTCGTCTTCTCCAACTCTCTCCCCGTCATCCGACGGACGATTCTGATGCCTCACCCGTTGGATCCCCCGATCGCGCCTCCTCTGAGATTCAACGACAGCCGTCCGATGATGACATGATCAATCGCCTGGGACCAGCGGTCTCTCTGAGGATCTGAAACAAAAAATTATTAAACAGGCAAGTTCTCTCTGTCTCTCTCTATTTGAGCATGTGGATAATGAACCCTAGGAGCTTAATATATGTTTGTCTCTCACTAAAAAAATATATCCCAATCCAATGTAAGCAAAGAAAAGCCCAATCCAATGTAAGCAAAGAAAAGAAGGGTTTTATTCCAAAACGACATGAAAACCCATCTCTCTCTCACCAACAAAACAAAACCCCAAAATTTTGACAGCAAATTAATCAGACTTTCCTGAGACTCTCCCCATCTTGGACGTCAACGGTCGACCCATCGACCCATCAGTTTTCACTTGCCAAACCCAAGACGAGCCATTCTTTCTCGCTCCTTTCACTTCTGCTTCTGGTATGATGTGATTTCTTCGACTGAATTGAATGTGTGGGTTTTGCTCTCTATGAATTTTGAGAATATATGGGGTTTTTTTATATATTTATTTATAATAATAATGATTATTTTTAACTTAATAATTTATATGTAGTGTAAGGGACGAGAGAGAGAGAAGAAGAATGAATAAGGGGGGAGGTGCAGCGTCAGGTGGCGGATTGGGAGGTGGGGGAAGTGGGCCCACTGCGGCTGCGGCGGCAGCAGCAGCTCAGAAGCAGAAGGCGTTGCTGCAGAGAGTGGAGACGGACATCGCCAACATCGTCGACAATTTCAGCTCCCTCGTCAACGTCTCCAGGGTCACACACAAACACTCTATCTCTCTCAATTGAACCAAAATTTCTGACAATGGGGAATGCCAACCAACCTTATTAATGCTTGTAGGTGAACGATCCTCCTGTTAGAAACTCTCAAGAAGCTTTCATGATGGAGATGCGTGCAGCTAGAATGGTCAAGCCTTTTCCTTTCCTTCCTGCTTTCTGATTTATTTTTATTTCATTTTGTTTTAGATCCTAAACCCTATTCAATTCAAGCAAGTATAATTGTTAAACTTTATCACTTTGAGTTTGATCTTATTCATTTGCTTCATAAACTTACAACTCAGAAATCAGAAATGTTTTGTTAAATAAACAGAGGAGGTCTATGCATGCGATGTGAAAGATGCCCCAATTTCATAATCTGTGTTTCATCAATCAATGTGCTTAGAGATTCACAAAAGGAGTGGCTACTCTGCTCTTGTTAATTGATGAGTTAGGATCATGTTTGTGGTGACTGTTTGCTATTCAGTTTACTCTTGTCTGGCCTTATCAAATGAGCTCCTCTTTAAGTTTACTGCAAGCTTGCTTTATATGTTTCCTAGTTGGTTACTGAGTTGTTCGGTCATTCGCCTTTCATCTATGATCACAGGTTCAGGCAGCTGATTCTCTGCTCAAGTTGGTGTCAGAACTGAAGCAGACGGCAATTTTTTCAGGATTTGCCTCCCTTAATGACCATGTAGAGCAAAGAATAGTGGAGTTCAACCAGCAGGCTGAGAAGACCGACCAGATGTTGGCTAGAATCGGAGAGGAGGCAGCTGCTAGCCTCAAGGAGCTTGAATCCCATTACTATTCTTCTGCACTGAGGACTAGTGAAAACTTGCAGCCATGAACTTGACAATAATTTAAACTAGACATTAGTTTGGTGATTGTTTCTTGAATCATGCATACACAGGCAGAAACAATGTACTTGCACGATGCAAACAGATTTTCACTCTTAAAATATCTTTTATTTTCACCCTGAATTGAATTGAATGAATTCTATCGTTATTTTTGGTTGTCTTTTCAAGCCTCAAATCTCAGAGGAATGTGATATTTAAAGCAATGACGACATGCCAGTTGATAACTCTTAACAGAAACCATGTGCCAACGAAATGCAAATCCAAGTCAACAATCAAACGTATTAGTCATCAACCATTGGCAGAATAGCATCACTAATGCTTCAAGGACCATAAACTTTCAGTATGATTGATTATAAACACAAATTACCTTGAGGACTTGATGGAATGGAAGCGAATAAGGCAGCCAGCCAAATAGTAAAAGGCAGTTTTAAGAGAATGAGATGTCTCACATAATTACTACTGCCAAAGGCCTGCTAACTCCTTCTATTCTGATGAAGGACGCTTAAAAAGCCAGAAACAATCCCTGCGTGCCTGGTGGGCGAGGAAACTCTTGCAAGAGATCCATGAAGTGAATTGCACGAGAAAAGACACTAAACTGACATTATTATCTTTTTCCATTTCAAGCTTTGTAAGTTTTATAACACACAACAAAGTACAGCAGGGCTTCATTTTATTCTTAAAAACTTGAAAGAAAAGGGGAAGCAATTTAGGAAAGAACAAGGTCTCATCTCATGAGCACTAACAGTACAACTCACTTTCCTTTTTGGGTCCAGTAATCTCCCAAAAACAAAGAACGAGTGAAATTGGAAGATAAACATTGAGGAAAACTGTCAGTTTTCAATTAACACTATGCTGCTGCTCAGCAGCAGCAGAATGTGCAAACCCTAAGAAAGACCATGGAACTTCAATCATAGCTCATTCTAGCAATGGCTGCTATTCAACATCTAGAAGAAGAAATAGTAGAAGGAGAATATATAACAGAATATGATGAAATCGCAACAGGCACACGCATGTAGTCTACCAAATCATTTTTTTATTTATTAATATTTCCAGTCTTTTCTTTTTTCAATGAGAATTATATCCATTCTCAATACCAAGACCATATAAAACACCAGCATATTTGTCAGGATTCCCACTAAAGAAAGTCTCTTTCAGTTTCATGAACGCACAACTAGTCAGCAAACTATCAGAACCAGCTTGGTGGCAAATACCAATTCTCTCCACATCTAGCAGCTCCGCCAACTTGTTCAACCCACCATGAAGGCTGTTGCAGAACCTCATGAGATGCTTGATATCATAAATTGTAGGAAAATACACCTTGATCATATCAAAGAACCCCATCTGTGTGTCCGGAAGGGTTTCGCCTTTCAGAAGCTTGAGCAAGTACCCGAAATCATAGCCACTGTGGAATGTCACCCAAACCACGTTTTCATTCAGCACAACACCGGATGTCATCAGTAGCTGGCTGAACCTAACAGCATCAACACCCTTCTCATTGTTCTTCTTGAAATCCATACCGCTCTGTGACAATAACTCTATGGAGTCATTGGCATACACATCCTCATTAGGGTTGAAGTCGCGGAAATTGAATTGCCACACACAGTGCTTGTCAGTTTCACAGGTCGGAAGGTTCCCGTTCTCGTCAGTAAATGTGAGACCCAACTGAATTAACTTCAAGAGGTCCACATTGGCCTTAAGGGTTTGATAATTATAATCAAAACTGTTCTTGAAAGTGCCTATGGGCCGCAAAACGATACCTGGAAACTCTGTATCCATAGCTATATAAGGGTAATCGTCTACAATCTTACGAATCAATTCGAACTCCTTCTCAAGATTATCGTTCCAAACTTCCCTAATGTGAATTGAATCGCTTTTCGTCAACAAAGACATTTTATTTTCGCAGGAGCAACACAAATTTATGCAAATAACAAGACCAAGAAGAGCAAAAACCATAAATCTGCAAACGAAACCAAGAAAACCAAAACCCATATCTCAAAATTCATACTGAGCAAAATCCACATATCGAAACCTAGAAAAGAAAGGCAGATATCAAAGGTACGATAACTCACCTCAATAATCAAGGAATATGAAATTCTCGTTTTAGGTTTGAGAAATGATGCGCCGAGGTATAATGGGTTGGAATAAGATGAGGATTTTCTCCGAGAAATCAATGCGTTTCTCGGGAAAATTTGGGGGTTTTGGGTGTGAAAACGAGGGTTTTGTTGGAAAAGAGAGGGGTTTTTATAGAAGAGGATGAGAGTCTAAAAATAAAGACTTTGTTCTAAGTCGTTTTGTGATAAAGCGCTGTAAGCCTTCCTTGCTTATACATTGTAACAGCAAGGAATGGCTAAGTGAGGTCAGGGAGAACGAACTGGTGCGTTACTTATGAGTTGGTGCTTATGGATACAAAACCTAGTATTTTCTTTACCCATTTTGTCCTCCTTTTTTCCATTTTCTTTTTCATTTTGTTTACCTTTTAATTATTTTTCTTTTCGTCTTTTCTCTTTTCTCTTTTCTCTGTTCTCTTTTCCAACAAAGAACTATGCTTTTGTTATTTGGAAAAGTTGGACATGTAAACCAGCATTGCAGTGGTGGTTGAAGATGCTGAGACTTCAGTTTCCATTAAACTTCAATTTGGTTTTGGGAGTTCATCATTGAGTAAGCATTCGTCTTATCAAACTTTCAATGTTTAGTTAAGATATAAGTTATTACTTCACAAAAATCATGGCATTCAAGTTTTCATGTTTATGTACCAACTGGCTATTATTCAAGTTTCCACTTCTCAATGTTGAAGAAGAGAGCTTTTATGCGGTTCAGTAAATTCAGTTGGGTAGAACATCTGTTTAGTATAAGTGTTTTCTTCACAAAAAGGAAACGAAGAAACCTTTTATTGGTAGCAACAGATGAAAGGTAGTTCAAATCTCAATAAAAATAATTTGGATTTCCTTTCCCCCTGTCCATCTATTTTCATTTCTCACAGAACATAAAACCTTCTTGAGACATACTGTCTCGTTACCGTGACAACAACAAAGCCAAAATGAGAAGCACATGAGAAGATAAAAACAAACCTGCACCAATCATCTTCAATCATCTTCACTGCATATTATAGACTTTTACAGTGACACACAACATGAACACTTAGCTGAAATGCTCTCAATCTCTAAGCAACACATCACTTTTTTAAGAATTGACAAACTTTGTGTATCCTTGATTGAGAAACACCTTTAAATACTGTGCAAACTAAACCAGCAGGTAGATACTAACATGTTCTCAAAAACCTAATCAGGAATGCTGCACCACTCACCCACACACATTCAAAGTTAGCTTTATTCTCACCGATCACTATATTTTATAGCTATTAGCAAGCCTTCCCTCAGTGCAACGAACAGCCCACAGTAAGTTTTGCAGCTGAGACTATAGGGAACTCAATTCCAGGCTCTGCCCAATAAGTTTCAACAGCCCAACAGCTCAATCAAAAACAATCAATGGAACAAGATATAGAGGTTCTCAACAACCCACAGCTCACAAACACCACTTTGTGGTGTGGAACAGCTCAGGTACTCCGCAAGTTTTAAACGTTTTGTCAACAAATCTACCACGACTTCAAATTTCGGTAAATAAAACTATACAACTCAGGCAATTGTCACTATGATATTACGAACGTCAAATCTTTAAATGCTACACAAAGCATATGTGAAGAACGACCGCCAATATGGAAAACATGCACAAAAAAAGGGTTTAAAAAATGTAAAAATATGATAGTATGCACCTCTTATTTTATTAGTGTTAATGTTGCAAGTAAAACTTGTTTAGTTGAAGCATCAACATCAAAAACCCCATCTTCACAACTGATATTGTACATCAAGGGATTATGCTTGCTACCAAGCAGCAAGACAGACAATGAGAGTATATAACAAGCCAAAGTTTCCTATTAAAGATCAACTTCAAATTACAACAAAATAGGAATCAATAAAAACTGAAAATTCACATTAAAAATGAGACAATATTGCATTCTCTTCGACCTTACCATCAATTAGTTTCTACCGAGTGGGAGAGATCTACAAGAATATGTTTCCTTGAACTCCGACTTCCTTGACGACGTGAAGATAGACGCATACACTTCCTTAGTAGCATTAGGCGGGGCTATATCCACAGCCTTGAACCTCTTTGCCGCACCATTACTCACACCCTTCGCATTATCCCCACCATTCACAACCTTCCCATGCACCTCTACATTTGCTGATGCCTTCTCCACAGCCTTAACATCAATGCCATGCTTGGTACCGCTCAACCGCGAGGCCTCAAAACCCATACCCTCCTCTCCATTCAGAGTAGCATCCCCATTTTTCGTCTTCTTCATCTTTTTCACTCTCCCTTTCCCCTTCTCGGCCTCCATTCTATCTCTCAACGCCGCAACTTCCTCTTCGTTTCCGTTAATCACAATCTTATCCGCCTCAGAAAATCCAACATGACAAACAAGGCAAGTGGAGGATTTTACCTCCTTTAAAGCCTTTGCACTGAGTACATGTCCACAAGTTTTCAATGCCAAAAACTTACACTTACCGTTAAACTCCACTCCAGAAATAGGGCATTGAAACCGCGGCCCCGCGGCACTCGATCGGCGATTGGATTCAGTCCCAGGAATTGGGGAAAAATGAACAGTGATCATGTCCTTCAAGCCCTTTATGTGCCCAAAGGCCTTGGGCACCTTCTTGCCCAACAAGGCCTCCACAAGAGGCTCCTTGTTAAACACATTCCCAAGAAAATCCACCACGCACGGTTCCTTCAAGGGCTCGTTGGAGAGCGAGCAATTGAGCCACTTCGACAGCCTCTGCTCATTTGGGTCAACCTTATCGGGCTTCTTCTCAGCATACATCTTGAGATAACAGTCGCGGGACTCGGCCCCCGTGGCCCCGCCATCGCCGCCACCTCCGCAAGCTCTAATACGTAAAACGAGGGTAGAAAGAGGGGTAATTTGGGAATCGAGAAGTGGAGTGGAGTCGTTCAGGGGTTTACCATTGAGGGTGAAGTAAAGCGATGGCAGGGTATGGGAGAAAATAGAGAGCTTGAGGTGACGGAGAGTTGGGGTCTGAGTTGGGGCTAGGGTTATGGTTTGGGTCGGAATTTGGAGGTCTGGAGATTGGAGGAAGATTTGGAAATTGTGAAGTTTGGGATGCATCATGTTTCTGGTTTTTCTACGGACTATGAAATCAGGGTTTCAAGGATGAAGCTTGGGAGGGAAATTGCGGAAATTGGAATTAGGATCACAATGGCTTTGGGAATTTGGGAATTTATACTTTTGGTTGAAGCTTGGGTCGGTGACGCGATTGTCTTCTTTGTTTTTCTTTTGATTAGGAAAAGGGTGATGCTATTTTAAAAATAAAAAATCAACCATATGCGTCTTTGCTTATTTTTTGTATTTATATTTATTTGCTCAAACTATTACAAAACCTCCTAAATACTTTTATCCGAACAGAATTTCAAAAACCTTCATATAAAAATATATATATATATATATAAAAAGAGAGGATACAATTATAACAATTCATGTATTTGGTTTAGCCAATGAAGTCTAGTCCAATAGGAAATAGCATTGACTTGCAGACTAGAGGGTTCATGTTCGAACTCCCATTACATCATAGTTGTGTGTGTGTGATAGAGAAATCATCATTATTTGTAATTTAGACTATCGCGTGTACTCAAATAAAAAAATGTATTTGGTTTAGCCTCTATGTCCTTGTAGAATTTATTTTGACTTGTATACTAAGATATTAAGAGGATCTAACTTTTAATGTATTTCAAATTTCAACCAAAAAATAAAGGATAGATAGCGACCAATTATCTTAGCAAACCATGTTAATAATTTTTATTTAAAAATAATTTATTTCTTATGTTAATAATTTTGTTTAACTTACATTTTTTTAAAAAAAATTGAAACTATATAATATGTTACTAATTCGTAATTGAAATCAAAATAAGAAGTTGTATTTCGATTATGGATTAATGTTATGTTTACTTCATATAAATGAAATAAATGCAAGTGAGCTCACACAAAATTAGGAACAAAATTGTTATTTTGGAGGAATTTGGCTCTTGAGTAGAATGTGGTATTCTAATTCATGGAGAACTAATCTATCTGGATTTTAGATGAATTATAATTTAGTAAACAACGTATAAGGTTATACAAATTTTGACTCATCCACAATTCAATTCATCATCACATTGATTATGAATTAGTAAACATGTCATAAAGTTATACACTACAATTCTATTTTTTTAACCATGATTTATCAATAAACTTGTTATTATATTAGTTTTTTTTTCTTTTCAAAAGTTAAGAAGAGAGAGGGGGAAAGCTGTTTTTCCGGTTTGTCGGTCCCAAAGTACGAGTATCATGAGGGTTTAAAATTAGGAGCACACCAACAACCTAGGTCAATCCAACTAACACATAATAAGTTATATTAGTACTTTTTTGGATTGTGTTTATTTTTAGCCAACTTGTAATATTATGTAATCTATATATATAAAGCAAAAGTCAGAGAATGGTGAAACATTTAAAATGCCAAAAAATGCCATTGGTTAATGCAAATATTAAGAATTGAAATTATTTATTAAATGAGGATAATATGGTAAATTCAAACTTTTTCATATTAAAAAAAATTAAAATTAAAAGAAAATTCAGATAATGAATTCTATTTTTATGGAATATAACTACCCATTTAATTTTAAATTATAAAATAAAATTAAAAAATCCCGAGCACAGAAGCGCATACGAATAGGCTAGTTATATTTTAAGACTGAAACCAGACCCCAACCAAAAGAAAAAAGAAAAATCCTGGAAAAACAAAAAGAAAAACGCCCAAAAGTAAAAAGGAGGAAAAGGGTAGTATGGTCATTTGAAAGTAGGGTTTTTAGGGTTCATCTATGTTATCGTGTGAGTTATAAGAACGACCCCGTCGGCCTCAGTCACTTCTCTTGCAGCAAATAGCAGTGCGGCTCTTAGATCTGTACATCACCATAACCTCCACCATCATCAAGGTCAGCACTCATCTCTCTGTGCGTCTGATTACATTTTCCTCTAATTTAACTTCTACAACTACGTTTCGGTTTAGAAGTTCTGTGTGGCCGCTGAGAAATTTAATTGAAAAATGAAAAAGAAGAAAAGATGAATGGGGCATTAATAATTGTCTAAAATCCGAAACTGGCTTGAAGGGCATTTTGCATTCTGTGATTTTTCATGAAAGCTACAAAATTGCTTCTGGAAATTCCAAGTAACATTTCATGCCCGAGTATTTTAGCACTAGAGTTAACATCTTCTGTGTGTTTGTATAACTGTTAATATATTTGGTTGTCTGTTTTTGACGTGGGCACCAAATTTGACTTGGTATGTATTCTAAGCGCTGGTTATTGTGCATCATCGGCGTGTAAAGTTCACTTTAGTAAACTAACCATGCTCAAAGTATCTATCTAATTCTTTAAGATTCTCTAGTTATTCCTTTACAAGTCAGAACTACTAGTGTTATGTTTTTGTAGGTTTTTATTGCTATCTTGTTTAGGTTTCAGTGTTGGAGCTTGCAAGTCTGGTAATTTTATCTTTTGCCGAAATTTTTTATATGGCTGACATCTGTTTTGTTATTTTCTTGTAACCAGGGCCTCTAATTTCAGCAGACAAGCACAATGTCAGGGTATGTAGATATTTCTTTTTCCAATTCTCCATACTCATTTTCACTGTACATATGGAATATTTATTTTAATGGAGGGTGCGAGTATTTTTAGAGATCAAATTGCGATCCTGATTACTTGGCCTGAGAAGTAGCCTAAATTTATCTTTTTTACTGGTAAACTGCCTTTCATAAATTTGATACATATCAAAATGAGGGTACATGTTATTGGTCTAGTATTGTGAGACCTGTGTGGTTTAGATCCAGATTTGCAGAATGTGTGGCAAACCGCTGAATTATAGTTGTGTGCCTCTAGGGACCTTTTGTTTTGGACTGTGGGAGTATGTAATGGATGAGTGAGTGAAGGCTTACTTTAGTTAATTATGTTTTAGATTGTGTGTTTTTTGATACTAGGATCTGTGCACTTGTTCTGCATTTTATACTGTATGTCCTAATAGTGCTTCAGTATTCTTTTTTTTTCTTTCTTTTTTTCTGTTGTGATTTCCTTAGGATTTATTTGGTTTGCATGTGTATGTCTATGTCAAGTCAATTTATTGCTTGTACAGAGAAGAAGAAGTTGTTGTTGCTGCTGAGCCCGCTGCTGCTGCTGCTGCTGCTGTTCCAGCTCTAGGTGAGCCCATGGACCTTTTGACAGCATTGCAACTTGTGCTGAGAAAGTCGTTGGCTCATGGTGGGCTCACACGTGGACTCCACGAAGGTGCAAAGGTCATCGAGAAGCACGCTGCACAGCTCTGTGTGTTAGCTGAGGACTGCGATCAGGCTGATTATGTCAAGCTCGTCAAGGCGCTATGTGCTGACCATAATGTTAAATTGATATCAATTCCTAGTGCTAAAACTCTTGGAGAATGGTCTGGTGTAAGTGAAAAATCAATTGACATAAAGCAGCGTTGTTAGTTTTAGTTCTTGCCTAAAAGTACTTATTTGCAGATGTTAATTATTTAGCTTGTTCGGGCGTTTTCCTCTATCTCTCTATTGCTCCTTTTGCCCTCTTTCTCCATAGCTCCATAATTAATCTACTTGTTTTATACACATGCAATTATCTTCACTTAGTAACAATTCCATTTAGAGGGTATTTATTTACCAATAAATAAAAAATGTCTGTCAATTTGCTTATCATCTGATCAGATCTGTCGTGGGTGGGAGGGGACTGGGTAGTTGGTAATCTTCAAACTCTATTTCCTTTTATTGATTTCCCTTTGGTCACTTTAATTCTGTTTCTTTCTGATAATGCTCATGTTCTTTTTTCAACTTATTGTTAATTTTAAACATTCTTCTCACAGCTTTGTAAGATTGATTCAGAGGGAAAGGCTAGAAAGGTTGTTGGTTGCTCCTGCGTTGTTGTGAAGGTATGTAAACATTTATTTGTGTGCATTTCTGTTGTTGTCTCTTGAACCTATGTTGCTGATAAATATAGGTCAGACAAATGAATCCATCAAAATTTTAGTGATTCACTAAATTAGATCAATGATTTTGTGTTTCTATCCATTTTCTTTTGTTTCAATGAGTTTCTTAATAACTTTATTATTCTGCCAATTTGGCTTAGGGAAGGTTTGTATTCATCCACCATACATGCTTTTATCACATGCTAAATTGGATTATTCTTCGTATGGTTTTTGTTTCCTAATCATATTGTCTATTGTTTTGCAGGATTATGGGGAAGATACAGAAGGCCTTCATGTTGTTCAGGAGTACGTGAAGTCCCATTAAACTAGAAGATATTGGAGAGTCAGCCCCATTTTGATTTGGGGGTGATGTTCTTTAGGTAGTCTTAAGCCTATTTTAATATTGGTTATGATATCATCAGTGGCATGTCCAAACTTATAGAAGTGGAATTGAGTAACTGTCGTCTCTGATTTTCGAAACATGATGATTTGTCTGTCTTAACCTATCCTTGAATTGAATGAAGTAATTTTTGGTGTGGTTTCATTAGTGATTTGCATGTTTTTTCCTTTGGGTTTCTCGTTAACCATGCAAATGGGGCATTTCAAATGATGAGGATCACGTTATGATTGTATGACATGCTTTTCAAGAAATTTGAGGTTCAGACACGTTATGGTTAAAAATCTTTAGCCGCAGCCCCTTCAATCTCTGAACAGAGACCAGAGCATGATGTGGAAACTCATCATTCTCAGCCTCAGGCTTGGTGATAAAAACAATTGGCATCATCCTGTTTTTATTTTTTTTCTAATTATCCTTGGGACAAAATTTAAGTGAAATCCACCAGGCTATGCAGTAGTGGTCCATAAAGAGCGGTGCAATGTGTCCTCAAGCCTCTGGTTGAACCTGCACCAGGAATACCTGTGAACCACATTAGCTTTCAACGACCCTTTATCCAATGGAATGGAAGAAGAAAAAGACTGGCTTTTGCAAGTTGCCACGACCCATAAGCGGCCTAAAACTGAAAGCTGGAGGGTCCACTTGGGGTTTTGACTCAAAAAAACGTTTCGGCCGTGCCTCTTGACTGACAAACCCATGCGTTTCTGGAGTCTCCTCCTTCTCCCATTCTTGCATTGCATGTGAAAAACTACAAGGAACTCCAAACCCAAGCAACTAGTAGGGATAAGATGCCCATAAAGAAAAGATAAAGTGATCAAAATAAAGTTTGGAGGCTTCTACAATACAAGCCTAAAACCACAGTTTTTGGCTTCGGATTCTCATTCTTTTCTGCTTTTTTCAACAGATATTTTGTGCTACAATATATTTGTTTAATTATAACCAAGTTCTCATGCAACTCTTCAATTCCATCGAGTCTGCAAAACGAAACTATGTCGGACAGATGATTCTGATTGCCGAACACGTTGAAAATATGCATACAACGTTATTGCCAAATGCCAGTGCAATGTGAAGCTGCATGCGCTTTCTCTCTCTCATTCTGTATGAATGAAGAGTGAGAGGTGGAGGAGGAAAAAACAAAACATTAATTGTGAATATCGATCCTCCAGAAACCAGGGAGTTGGTGGTTCAGTTGAGGCCAATTTAAGCTCTCCGTAAAACACGTCCCATCCAACAAGTTGTAGTTTACCAAGTTATACATATATCCACTGACTCCGATCATTTAGGTTGCAGTTAGCTTACTACACCTAATCTTAAGCCAAAGACAACCTTTCATTTTTTTCATTTTTTTATTTTTACTTTTTATTTTTCGGTTTCAAGACATGCTTTAAGTTTGGAGCATTCAAGAATAATAGAATGTCCCAGCTTTTCTGCAGTTTTCATGCTTTAGAATCAAAAGGCTTACTTCATTTCAGTCTTAATCAGCAGCAGGTTTTACTCTTTACACTCTCATTCTCTTCTCCTTCTCTATCTCTCTCTCTCTGGCTTTGCTTTATTTGGCCCTCCTTCGTCATTATGGCTATAATCATGGATTATTCAGTGAATATATAATGGTAATACCTGGTTGGTTATATTTAGAAATCTGAAAGAGTGCAAGCTTCATGCATGCACATATATATACAAAAATTCTCTTATACGGACGCCATGTATTTTATACTACTCCTCTCTGCTTTCCTCTCTATTTACAATAGCATCCGCATGTTATCGTGCGAACATCCGGATGAGAGAATATATATACATACATTCTGATTTTTATTTTCTTTTGTTATATGAAGCGATCTAATCAATTTCTTAATGTTTAATTTTATTTTTCCCTTTCATAATTTTAATTAATATAGGTAGGTGGCAACCGTGGTGTACCTACTTCATATATGGCCAACCACAGTGCCCTTCGAATTAGCTCATGCAAAGCCAACTCAGGTAGCCTTCAAGCTCCTAACCATCTGCATTATTATAAATGCGTAGATAATTTTTTACAAGTTGCAAAAAAACAACTTCATGCATGCGTGCATTTCGAAGTAGATGCAACAGCTCTTCCTTGTCTTTCATTTTCTTCAAATTACAAATTCAAACACACTTTGCTTCATCAGTGAAAATCAAACTCAAAATCTCCTCCTTATTTAACACTCTGCTGTTAACAAGGAGGATGGTGGCTGTGAAACTTTTATAGGAGGTCCCCAAAAGCTGTACTAAAACTTTAGACGTATATCGCTTTAAATGGTAGGTAACCATAAAAGTTTGGCCATTTTGGTGAAAATTCTTAAGGGAAAAATTTATGTGTGGCTTAAAAGTGTTCTGAAGTTTCAATTTTTTTTGAGTTTGTATATATGCTATAAGTCGCGGACAGCACGAGGCTAACTAAAATTTTGAGTCCTTTTTTTAACCGTCTGATACTAAAAAAACAGAGAGTTGCCACAAGGGAAGATGTGCAGGAAGTAAAAGCTTACTTGTCAACCTTTCAACCACCTAACCGACTTCCTCCTCTGTCCCATTTTACTGGACAAAGCGTGGCTCACCTTCCCCTTATATAAACACCCTCACAAATCCCACCAAACCCCAACCCAAAAACCAGACTACTTATCACCCACACACTCCCTCACTCCCTCATCCTCCACTGCTCTACATACGCCTCTCTTTTGCTGCCTTGCACAGTCCAAAAAGAGGCTGTCATACGCTCAAGTTGAGCAATTCTTGTGTTGGGTTCTTTGTTGTTTGAGCTCTAATCTTTGTCAGCCATGGCTGGTACTGGATTGTTTTCAGAGATATTGGATGGAGAGGCTTACAAGTACTACGCTGATGGAGAGTGGAAGAAATCATCTTCTGGTAAACTCGTTCCCATCATCAACCCAACTACAAGAAAGGTTCACTACAAGGTTCAAGGTGATCATCTGTCATCTTTGATTAATCATCATGTTCATGTCGTGGTTTTTAATTTTGCATGGTTGCTCTGTTTTCTCTGTTTCGTTTTACAAAATTACAACTACCCTTTGTTTGGTTGTCACAGCTTGTACACAAGAAGAGGTCAACAAGGTTATAGAAACTGCGAAAATTGCACAGAAGTCGTGGGCAAAGACTCCACTCTGGAAGCGAGCTGAGCTTCTTCATAAAGCTGCTTCTATCCTGAAAGAGTACAAAACTCCAATTGCAGAATCCCTTGTTAAAGAAATTGCTAAACCTGCTAAAGATGCAGTTACAGAGGTGTATAACTTGTTCTGTTTTTGCACACAAACTAAATGCGTTTCTGTTTGATTTTCCATGAAATTGATATGGGAATCTTGGGTTTTATGAAGGTTGTGAGGTCTGGGGATTTGGTGTCTTACTGTGCTGAAGAAGGGGTTAGGATTCTGGGAGAAGGGAAGTTCTTGGTGTCTGATAGTTTTCCTGGAAATGACAGAACAAAGTACTGCCTCACTTCCAAGGTATCTTTACTTTCAATTCAACTACTTATTCTTGTTAGTTTCTCCTTTTACTGTTGATTTCGTGAGTTTCTCCTGGAAATATGCACGAAAAGCTTGATTTGATGATGTAAGCATTAAGCCTATGGAAAAAAGGAAAGATGATGTCAGCCTAAAAAAAATTTCCACCAGAAATTGTTGGTTTCTGTAACTTCCAACTGTCTGTGATAAATCATTCTCAGTAGGCCTGAGCTCAGAACTCATTAAACTAATTCTCATCTTTTGAAAAGGAGCCGCTATCCGTCATGCTATATTAATATATTATCTGTTTGTGTCACATTTCGTCTGATACTTGTGACAGATTGAAGAGGTGAGAAACTAACACACACTGTCTTCTGAAACCATCTATGGGATTTTTCTTCCTTTTGTTTCCTTCACCAAGCTTTAATTCTCAGCAGTTGCAACTACTTTTTCTCAATTTCTTTCGTCACGTTGTCATAAATTCTACTAACTGTAATTGCTATCTTTATCCACTCTCACCCTGCTAATTATCACAACGCACATCTACCTTAACCGTCTACTCTTTATTCAAATTGATATAATTTTGAAAGGTCTCATCATTATCCTTATTTATGATAAGTTTTATTGAATGCGACTGTATTTTGATTGCAGATTCCACTTGGTGTGGTTTTAGCCATTCCACCATTTAACTATCCTGTCAACCTTGCTGTCTCAAAAATTGCTCCTGCACTCATTGCTGGAAACTCCCTTGTGCTGAAGCCTCCAACTCAGGTATCGCCAGTCTGTGGAATTACACTTTGGTCCAGCAGTTATTACTTGATCTTAGGACATTGTGTTTGAGACTGAGTAATTCGCCAATCCTTCTTGATCACACACATAACTTCTCAGTAGTAGTATGATGAAAAACCAGAAAGGTGGAAGCTGGCCTTTATTTTCGAACTATGTAAATTCCTGCAAAAATGTTTTTTTAAGTACAGAACAGCATTAAAAAACTGTGTCTAGAACACTCGATGAAAATATTGTTTCATGATCTGAAAGACTGAATCATACCCCTAACTTTCTTCTAGGGTGCTGTTTCTTGCCTTCATATGGTTCATTGCTTTCACTTGGCTGGTTTTCCCAAAGGCCTTATTAGTTGTGTCACTGGGAAAGGATCTGAGATTGGCGACTTCCTTACCATGCATCCTGGAGTGAGTTGTATAAGGTACTCCCAGATTATTTTCTTTTGATGCTGCAATAGACTCCCTTTACTTCGTCTTGATATATCGTTACTTACTGATGAATACCGGTTTCTCAGCTTCACTGGTGGTGATACTGGTGTTGCAATTTCCAAAAAGGCAGGCATGATCCCTCTTCAGATGGAATTGGGGGGTAAAGATGCCTGCATTGTGCTTGAAGATGCCGACCTAGATTTGGTGGCAGCAAACATTATAAAGGGAGGCTTTTCTTACAGGTGAAGGAAATTAATTATGTATCTTATACTTGTATAAGGCACCACCAGAGTAGCAATTACACAGTCTAATTCTTTCCGCTGCAATCTATAGTACTCAACTAATGAGATTTCTTTCTGACTCGCTTGGTACTCACATTTGTAACAGTGGTCAAAGGTGTACCGCTGTTAAGGTTGTCTTGGTGATGGAATCCGTTGCTGATGCCCTTGTCGAGAAAGTGAACAAAAGGGTGGCAAAACTAACTGTTGGACCACCAGAGGAGAACTCTGATATCACTCCAGTTGTTTCAGAATCATCAGCGAATTTTATCGAAGGGTTAGTTGTGGATGCAAAACAGAAAGGAGCAACATTTTGCCAGGAGTACAAGAGAGATGGCAACCTTATCTGGCCTTTGTTGTTAGATAACGTCAGGCCTGATATGAGAATTGCATGGGAAGAGCCATTTGGTCCAGTTTTGCCAGTTATTAGGATTACTTCTGTAGAAGAAGGAATCCACCATTGCAATGCCAGCAATTTTGGACTCCAGGTAACATTTTTTTGGGTCTCTCCACTTGCATACCATGATGTCTTATGCATACCGAAAATGATGTTTTCTTCTGCCAAAGTTGAACTATACAGTTATGCTCTCTCCCCAATAAAATATTGGCTCACACATGACATGGGTAAAATGCAGGGCTGTGTGTTCACAAAGGACATCAACAAGGCCATTTTGATTGGTGATGCAATGGAGACGGGAACGGTTCAAATAAACTCTGCACCTGCTCGTGGACCAGATCATTTTCCGTTTCAGGTGAATCTTTAAAATTCCAGAAAATTAATTAGTTTACTCTATTTGACGGCACCATTTCCTTCCAAGAAAATACCACCATCTTGGTGAATACTTATGAATGATGTATTGACAGGGTATAAAGGACAGTGGAATTGGGTCACAAGGAATCACCAACAGCATCAACATGATGACCAAGATCAAGACGACTGTGATCAACTTGCCAACACCTTCTTACAGCATGGGTTAGTGTTCATAAAGAATCGATAGTCGCAACAGCTACTAAATATGGGAGCAGATTAGTAAAATGTTGTGAGTGGAATTTTAGGCTGCAGACTATAAGAAATGTGACTTGTTCAGCAAATGGCGTTGAGAAAGGAGAATAATGGGGCTGCATCTGCATCATGTGTTACCAGATGTTTATTTCGCACTTGCGAGAACTTAGGCTTCTCTTGTGTACCAGTTAGCTTATGTTATTAGCCCATGAATTTGGAAGCTTTGTTAATAAGATCTGAGGTACTTGTACTACACTTTAGTTTGATAATTAAGCATCATTACATATCTTATCTTAGCTATAAAAATGGTGTTTTGATGCTCGCGTAGTGCCTTGGGCCTGCCTTAAGCCTTGTCCCGAATGACAAGTCAATGCTCGTGCGTAGCGGTGTTAAGCATTTGATTAGCTACACAATTATATCCTAATTCATGAACTTATCTCTGTCATTTTCACTGATACAAAACTAACTAATTTGAAATGCTATCTGATAAGTAAATCTGGATGGAAAAGCACTTAGGCCCATTGTGATTGGTTAATGAAATGCAGGCTTAGATTAGGTATAGACTTTTTGGTGGCTGATTAACCAAAAGATGAAATGCATGCCTACTACCCCCCTTCCCCCCTTCCTAGGGGTGGAATATGCTCATTCATGATCTTGTTGTTTAATTAGACATGAGACATCTAAAGACTTCAAATATTTTAAGTACAAGTTCCTCAAGTTGACTTGAATATATAAATATATTCAAGCGGTCAGAGAGGTGGCCAGGAATGAATGCATGAGTTGAGAACTGATCTGAAGCCTCTTTCTCACCTTCTTCCTGGGTTAATTAGAAACAGATAGGCATGTATGCAAGTTAACCTGGAAACAGACAGGCTTCAATCCAACCAATGCTGCCTGCACAGAATCATAATAAACCGTGCAGAGTCAGTCTCCCCCCACCCTCACCAAAATAAAAATAAAAATAAAAAATAAAAGAAGGAAAAAAAGTGAAGAATAAGGAAGATTGCATTTGAAATTTGAGATGCCAAATCGAATTCCTAATTATCTACGAGATCAAATCAAAGTTGGCTTAGAATTCCGTTTGCGGGTGATTTGAGTGATTGATAGAAGGGAGTTGGAATATAATTTAGCATATAGACATAGAGGAAAAAAAAGATACATGCTTTTGCATTGTCTCAGAAATGAAGAGGTGCTATAATATCTCGTCAAGAGATTTATTTGTTTTTGTTTTGCTGGAAGTATCTGTGTAATTAAGTCCAAAGAGCAATAAAGTGGTTAATTATTGTGATTTAGAATGGGCTTGGCAAGAAGATAATCATGTTTAATGATTTGGTTTAGGGATTGGGTTGAGAGATTATGTGTGAGGTGTAAAAGAAAAGTGGGGATGTGATTGGAGCAAGACAAGGACATATACCTACATCTTTTCTTTTGGCCTTGTGCAATTGGGATTTGTAGGACAAATTAGGAGGAGCATTCACTTCCAAAACCCATTTGAAATGTCAAGTCTTTCTGTGAATCAAGTAATTCGTTCTCCATTACAAAAAAAAAGGAACAAATAATGTCTAGTTAATTATGGTGAAGTGGGGAACAAATCATGTCTTGTGATTGTTTTTTTTTGGGATTCCTTTAGCAGGGCAGGGAGCCTCGGAGCCTGGGAGGCTTCGCCAACATACAATGAATATCGGGTCAAATTAACAACTAAGATTGCATCCCAAATTAACAACTAGGATGAGAGCCCACGACAATCACAGCATATCACTGCTTTAGATCTCCCTCTTCAACACTAGAATCCACTGGTCGTGCTTTCAGCAAACAAACCTTGAGCTTTTTTATTTTAGTGCTTCAAATTCCAAAACCCAATTATTTTAATAAAATAAAAATGTGTAACCATTCCACTGGGTCATTGTTTTGAATTCTGATGTGAATCTTGAACACGTCATATTGGGATTTATACAGTTATGTTTGTGCTCATTTTTTATTGTGAGTGAGTGTGACTCCAAGCTATTCACTATAAAATTTCAATTTTTTGCGTAATAAATTTTTTGTTTTTTGTTTTTAAAAGTAGGAAAAGATAAAAAACGAAAGAAGAGAAGGCGACGCGCATACGCAGCACAATTGATGTGGTGGATGTGGTATTCTCAGATATACGTATACTAGTTGAGTCTCTGACCAAATGCCAAAGCCCAAAAAGCCAAAGGCCCTCCTCGGTAGAAACTAGCGAAGCGAGCCCCACCCACCCCACACACAGACACAGTCACGAACGATTCACAACAATCACACCCAAACATACAAAACAAAGACAAACAAACAACCTCAGTCTCTCTTCTACTTTTTCTATTTAATATCTCTCTCTCTCTCTCCCCCTCCAAACGGAAGCCCAGGGTTTTTCTTTTCTTCTCAATTCTCGTCATCCAAACACACCAACCCAAAATCGCCATTCTCAAATGCTTTCTCCTTTCTCTCCTCCCCCTCCAATAATTCCACTCTAAAACACCCCAATATTTTAATTCCTCTTCCTCTTCCTCTAATTTGACTTCCCAAACCCCCAATCATTTATCTCTCTATCTCCATTAATCTAATCATATATACATACATCTATATATATATATATATATGCAGCCTTGTAGCAAAGAAATGCAAGATATGAACTCTCTCTTAAACTCTTCACCTTCCTCCCAACTCTCTCTCCAAGACCACCACCACCTTCAACAACAATCTCACTCTCACTCCCATTCTCATTCAAGGCCACACCTCCATAACTCTCACTCTCAGATGCATCCTCAAATTACTTCCCCCTCCGCCGCTCACTTCGACTCCGCTTCCCACGACGACTTCCTCGAGCAAATGCTCTCCACCCTCGGCCCCTCGTCCTGCTCCTGGGCCGACGACACGCCGCCCTCCAACTCCGACAATGTCGTCTTCACTTACGATGACTCCGCCAACCTCGCCACCAAGTTCCGCAGCCAGCAGATCAGCGCCGGAGCCGGTGCCTCCAAATCCGCTTCCGCCTCCGCCGCAGCTGCCGCCGCCATGATGCTCCAGCACCAGCTCATGATGTCCAGATCAACGTCCGCCGACTCTGGCTTCGTTCCCATGGCCTTGTCTTTGGGCAACGGAGACTTTGACCGCTCCAACAACGACGTCGTCGAGGGTTCCTCCTCCTTTAAATCTCCCAATCCTGTGGTGAGTTATTGTCAAACTTACTTAATTAATTATCGCCTTCCCTCTGCTCTCGTCTCCTTCCTATATATAATCTGAATTCGCCAATCACCACCGACGGCATAAATGTAAATTAGAAAGAAGAAAAAAATAGTGTGAACTGCTGGGGTGGCGATAATATTATATTATAATAATTTTTACAGGGAGGTGAGGGGGCTTCTTCTGTTCAAGCCCTGTTCAATGGGTTCTCTGGATCACTGCATGGGGGGGCTACTACTCAGTCTCCCAATCAGCATTTTCACCAACCTCAGGCATGCCCTCCCGCTCTATTTTCTTCTATTTATTCAATTATTATGATCTATTGGCTTCTGTGGCAGTGATTAGTAGATTGATTTTCTCGTCAATGATACAGGGAGGCTCGCTGCAGGCACAGAACTATGGAGGTCCAGGGGCGGCGATGAACCAAGGTCCGGCGAGTGGCTCGGGTGGGGGCGGGGGTGCACCCGCACAACCCAGACCCAGAGTCAGGGCGAGGAGAGGCCAAGCCACTGACCCACACAGCATCGCTGAAAGAGTACGTTGGGTTGTTTCTTTGTGTAATTCTTTCTTGGTTTGTTTGTAATTTGTTGTGATCCGACTGAAACGTATGGGGTGGTGCTGTTGCAGTTACGGAGAGAGAGAATCGCAGAGAGAATGAAGGCTCTGCAGGAGCTGGTTCCCAATGCCAACAAGGTAAATTAATTAATTAGTTAATTACTTGTCAAATGAATAGTTTAGTTATTTATGGACCAGTATCAATATTCCTTTAATTAAATATTTGTTGAAGCTGTTCAGTCCCATTTCCCCAGTGGGACACCTCCGGTTCTGTAAACTGACGCTCAGTCAGATTGCAATTCATTTATACTTGTTTTTCTTTCTGTGGGGAGGGAGAGGGGGAGGAGAGAGGCATCACAGTGGACACGTGTCACGCATATAATAGGGAAGGGATTGAATCATCCTTCCGTGCGTATTTGAAACAACAAGACTTCGATCCAGAAAAATTCAAAAAAAATAAAAAAAAAAAAAAAAAAAAAAAAAAAAAAAAAAAGAAGCTGAAGAAAGGGGAAAGTTGGTCCCGAGCAGTACTCCGGCACGAACTTGAGGGCGAATGGGTTAGGCATAGTTAGTTATACTTGCATTCTTGTATAATATTTTGACCAAAGAAAAAAAGTATTATTATTTAATGGTGTTATATTGTACTAGCAAGCCATACTTACTGGACCGCAACTAAATAAGTTTAGCATTTTTTATATTTTATATTATATATAAAAAAATAGATTTGAGATTCTAGGATGCAATCATCTAATGTAATGTGGGTTTTGGAATGACAGACAGACAAAGCTTCAATGCTGGATGAGATCATCGATTATGTCAAATTCCTCCAGCTCCAAGTCAAGGTATTCTTCTTCTTTATGTTTTTTCTTTTTTTTTCCCCTTTCCGGAGCTGCGTTAATTATTTCTTAATTAAAGAAAAAGAAAGATTCCCTAGTTGACATTGTTTGCTGGATTAGATAATGATAATCAAATAATGGATAATTTTGTTTTTGTTTTTGTTTTTTGGGGAATGGTTGGGAATGGTTGTGAATTTGTTATGCTTACACAACATGTAGGTTCTGAGCATGAGCAGGTTGGGCGGTGCAGCTGCTGTTGCTCCTCTTGTTGCTGATGTGTCCTCTGAGGTAAATTAAAATGAAGAAACCCTTTTTATCATAGCAAGGACTGGACTGGACCCAAAGAAAAACCCATGTACATTACATTTACATATGATGCTTTCCGCATAAAGAAGAAAGAGAATGGAAAATCTGTTTAGGTAGTGGTGTTGTTGTTGTTGATGAAAAAGAAGAACCAATCCACCATTCACATTTCCCTGATTTCACCTAACCCAAAGGAAGGAAAGTACCCAGTACCCAGCTAGCCAACTGAAAAACTCAAAGCCCCAAACTTTCCATCACTACAAAACGACAAAACAAAAGCAGCACGCGTGCCCGCTTTCTCAGATTCCACCTCTCTCTCTCCCTCTCACTTTTCAAACCTACATACACAGAGAGAGAGAGAGAGAGAGAGAGAGAGAGAGAGCTCTTTCTTTCTCTTTTCGCTTTGTATTGTATCCTTTTCCTTTCACACTACAAATAATAGTTTAATTTTTTGGTCGTTGCTGTAGGGAGGCGGTGACTGTATCCAGGCCAGTGCCAATGGCGGGACCCGCGGCCGGAGTTCTAACGGCAACCAAACGGCCTCCTCATCTAACGACAACAGCATGACGGTCACGGAGCACCAAGTTGCCAAGCTCATGGAGGAAGACATGGGATCCGCCATGCAGTACCTCCAGGGCAAGGGTCTATGCCTCATGCCCATTTCCTTGGCAACCGCCATCTCCACTGCCACGTGTCACACCAGGAACCCCCTCATCCACAACAACCACAACAATAATAATGCGGTCATGGCATCCAACGGTGGCGAAGGGCCCTCCTCTCCCAGCATGTCGGTGTTGACCGTCCAGTCAGCCACGATGGGTAACGGTGGGGTCGACGGTTCCGTTAAGGACGCGACCTCCGTCTCCAAGCCCTGAATGAGGAGCGACGTCGTCAAGTGTCGTCGACTGAGAGCGACCGACCGTATTGGCTTTAGTTTTTACTTTTGTAGGCGACAAATGAACACACATAGTGACGTGGGAGTCTCCACCAAGGCCGTGTAGTCTAAAGTCTACGAAAATAAGGCCTCCACGACGACGCCGTATTTGCGAAGACTTTGGGTAAAGCTAACTCACACGGTCACACCAGCAGATGATGATCCCGGGAAAATCCTTTTCTTTTGGTAAAAGAGATTTTATTTGGGGTTTCTCTATTTTAATTTTAGTTTAATATTCTGTTGTTGGTTTTTCATGGTATTTTAATTTGTTTTATATTTTGCAAGTTGGTTGGCTGGCTGCCAGTGGCCCAGTGCCGCTGATTGTACTACTACTACTAGAACTACTACTACTAATGCGAGCATGTTTATCTTGAAAATCACAATCATGTTATTATGAAATGATTACTATTTTAATAACAATGAGGGAATTATTAAGGATAAAAAAGGTGTCTATTATCTAAATAAAAGGAGTAGCTGAGAGCTAAGCTAAGCTAAGCTTCGGCCTTTGCTTTTGGGTTTTGTTTTTGTTTGTTAAAGTTTGTTTCTTCTGTGGGTTTTGTTTTGTGTATGTGGTTTCGACAAGGCCCTAACTATTATTATTATTATTATTAAAGAAAAAGGCCGGGGGGTGATTTGATGAATTGTCACTTGACTTGGTAAGACCGAAGACTTGTTGTAGGAAAAAATGACAACGCAATGCCAAAATTTGTTTGTTTGTTTGTTTATTATAGGTAGCTGAGAAAGAAGAAACCAAACCATCCGTGAAGTCTAATTTTGCTTTGTTTAAGTGTTTGTTGATCATAAACATAATAAAATAAGAGTGAAGTTAGTATGTGATACTATTCTGTGCGCTGATGATTCAAAGCGTGCGAATAACACGACGCCGTATTGCCATTGTTGTCGTGTGGGTGGATCCCACGCCACCGGCTTTCTTCCCTCCCACAGTACCAAACATATACTGACGTAAGGCCTACGTTCATCCAGCTCCAACCGTGTAACAACTCATAATCTCAAATTAAAATGTCATTGTGAAGTTTGAATAATCACAACAATAATAAACTAAAAAAGAAAAAAACGGTTCATCAGCCCAATAAGCAGCATCGAGTTCGAGTTTGAATCCCTTTAAGATATTGATTCATATGATAATGAGAGCGACAGAGGCGGCACAAGTGATTTGAAGGTTTGATCTTCTTCCGAGATCTCCTCAAATATGAAATTGAATGATGCACATGGATCATGGATCATGGATCATGGATCATGGATGGGGAGTATTAAGAGACATGCAATCCACTACTTAATGTCACTTCATCATTCACACATTGACCCTCCAATACTAAATACTATTATTATTCCCTTAGAGCCCATAACTCCATCCTCTAGCACTAAGCCAGTCAAAGAGATTGCAATATATTTTTTTCAGAGTGCTAGTTCAGACTTGAGGAACAACAACACAGAGGTGTTCATTAATTAAAATAAAGCTGTATGTGAATCAGAAAGAAATGACATTGAAAATTCTTGTTGCATTCTTGCACAAGTTTTAGTGGTTCATTTTCAAGACTAACTCAAACTCTTTTCCTTTCTCTGTACCTTCCTCCTGTCTCACGATACAAGTTTCATTTGATGTTTCCACAGAAATGCGATTGCAGTGCATAAGATACATGTACATGCAATGAAGGCAAGGAGAAGACCTAAATACTTCAGAAGAAATAATAAAACAACTTTAAAGACTGACATGAAATGAAACCCTGATGATACAATATTTAAATCTGTCCTACCATTAGCTAGAAATGTAATCTAATTCCACACCCAACCCATCAATTTGATAAGTTGAACAAGTTAACAAAAACGGTCTAATTGGTTTGGTTATGCGGTTTATAGTCATTAATACGAGTTGTGGGTTCTTTTTCCTTTATAGCTAGCTGGTTTTCTAATGTGATCCCTAGAGAAAAAGGTGGTAAAATTACCCAGCATTCAAGGCAAACTGGGTTGTGAACCAACCAGTTTGAATCCATCGTGCAGTAAATTTCTCTTCAGCTGTCCGCTCCTATTCGGTTGTCTTCTTCATCATCACACTAGGTTTTAGGGTATATTCTGAGAAAATGCCATAAAAAATAATGGACAGCTAATTCACGGTGTGAAAGTCAGTTCAATGGATTGTGAAAAATGGTGCCTCACAGTGTGAACTCATATCAGAACTTCCATAACAAAAACTAACGTAAATAAGCTTCAGATTTGGCAGGAGAAAACAGAAATTTTTAACCTCTCAACTGGTCATATATATATATTGAAGAGAGACGAAATTTTATTGCAAAGAAGAAAACAAAGGGTACATCAAAAACAAGTGGCCAAGGAGGCCACACAGAACAGTAGAAAAACTGAGAATTAAAGCAACCTAAGCTATAAGACAACAGCGTTCCAATCTCGGTGGATAAGTTGAAAATTTATCCCACTGAACTCAGAAGAGGTTGAGGCCCAGAGGGATGCCCAACGTCTGATTCTGTCCCATAACTGAGCACTATCGTTCTAATTTATTCTCGAAAGTTCTTCCATTTCTCTCTTCCCAGACAACCCAAAACACTGCCATGATCGCGCAGTACCCCAACACCACCCCCTTCCTCTTTCCCCCAAAAAGTTCAAACGAGCTCCCAGCATCTCACTATCAATATCAAAAGCTAATACCCTCCTCAACTCTTTCAACTATATCTGTAGAGCATCTATACACGTCACAACACCTGATTATGAGCTATCTATCTCAATTCTTCAGTATGCAAACCAAAATATACATGTCCACAAGACAAACAACAAGCAATTTTTTCTAGCAACGAAGGTAGCTGGATAAGAGATCATTTTCCACCTGAGCTTGTTTCGATCATTTGGAATAGTCGGACAATTTTACAGAGAGTCTACTTCAAAAACATATACCAAGGAGAAAACAATTTCACAAAGATGCATACAGTCTTATAGGCTACAGCAACACTTATATGAACCAACTCCACAAAGCTTTACCACCAGGTCCATGACTAGCTTGGAATCAGAACAATGGCATTGATAACACTTCATTCTTGCAATTGCCTAGATGTCTTAGGTGTGTCAAGACCATCAAACTTATGAAGAATAGGAGATATATAACAACTAGCGTGAGCATTCAGATTAATACAATCAAATTTTACCAGAAACATCATGTCAGATAGACACACCTTTCTTTTCCAGTGCTTCTTATTCAAGCAATCATAAATACACACCAAAAGACTCAAAACTTTCTAACACTGTACCACCTCTGCAAGCCTTAAAACCATTATATATCTCTCCCACTGACTAATGAAGCACTCAGTAACTCACCAGGATGATTCCTTCTGTCTTCAGGGGCCAAGTCAAGCCTTATACCCCTGCCAAAATCGATAAAGGTTCCATTCACTTCGATTATTTTTTACAAGAGTTTCTCGTAAATCCGTTTTTCTAAGTTTTAATGTTAAAAGCAATCCTACTCCCACCCCAAGTATTCCTAGTATGGTTATAACATAACAGCAAGGAGTCAAAATTAATGCATAGAATCATAGCAGTATTTTGATAAAACAAAAGTGCAAATGTATGTAGTAATCTTAAAGCATCGACATTCCATTCATGAAAATAAGATGAGAAAGTGATACTACAGTTTTCTTTATATGAAATCTTTAACCATCAGAAGTAAGCTTTAGGCAATTAATTCTATATCTCGCTATTGCTGAAGCCTGTACAACTACAAATCACCAAAGCCAACACGAGCAACAACATTTTAAGCTAACCCATCAAAACCAAAAGTTTAACTACTGGTGGTAGGCTTGAAAGTGTAAGGCTGTGGAAGTGACAACGGACCTCTCCTCGAGTCTTTATCATCCAAAAGCCTCTTCAGACTCTTGTTCTTGCAGTAGAGAGCATCAAAATGCTTAACCTACACCGTCAAAACCCCCCGCGATTAGAAACAAAAAAATAAATAAACCCAAGAAACTAAAACTAAAACTACATTAATTATGGTCCAAGAAACGCAAAAAGGTAAAATGGAGATTGAGACTTGAGAATGAGGATTTTACCCAAGAAGCACGGCAGTGATTGACAAACTCCTCCCTCGAAGCTTTGCACTCAGCTGGGTACAACAGCCCCTTGGACGCGATTTCAGTCTGTTTTTTGTCCGATTCTTTCTCCAAACAAGCATAGAAAGCGTCTCGAGCCTTTTCAAATACACACAATTGCAGATTATACCCCCAATTTCAATCCACAGCATGCACATTTACATTTACAAAAAACAAAAAAAACAAAAAAAAACGGATAGAGAGAAAATAAAATAGGACCTTATAGCAAGCTTGTCTGGAACTAGAGAGTACGTCAGTGTGAATCTCATCCGGGTTTCGTGCCGCGTAAGCTTCCGTGGCCATGGCTTCGATTCGAATTCGAAAGCAAGGAAAACAAACCTCTGCTTTTGTTGAGTTGCTGTGAAATCGGTGACTGCAATGCAACAAACGGAGTGTGAAAGGGGAGTTTGCGTTTGGGTTTGGGTTTGTATGTACGAACACGACTGAATGGGGTTGGTCCAGTCCAACACACTAAGTGGGCCTCTCTTATCTTTGTATATAAGCCCGATTGATTGTAAAGTATTAAAATTCAATTGTATAAATTTTTCTTAATAATGATCAAATATTGAAAAAAAAATTTTTTAAGAGACAGAGACAGAGACAGAGAGAGAGAGATAGGACTGCCGAGTGGGAAAAACTGGAAGGAATTGTAGAAATAGTTTTTTTCTTGGCTCTTACACATCACGTAATCAAATAAGTTGTTTTAATATCAGAATTAGGGTGAAGTTAGAAGTAAAAGAGAAACTCTCATGTAATAGGGATAATACTTTTTGTTATTTTCGACCAATAACGCAATGACACGTAAGATAATTTTTCCATGTGTCATTGTGTTATTGACCGAGAATATCAAAACAGTGCTATCTCCGTTACATATAAGTTTTTTTGTAGAAGTAAGGGTTGGTCTTCAAAATTAACATATTGGATCAGAATAAAGGGATTCCAATTCAAATAATTATAAATAAAAATTATAATGAAAATTATTTTCCAATTTCGTTCCATCCAATTTCGTTCCAAAAAAATTTGGAATTTCAACATCTATTCAGATTTGGAAAACTTGGAATTTTCAAAAATTACATATTTCGGATTTTTGTGTGGAAAATGTTAAACAATAGTTGAACATTTAAAAGACATCCAATGGTTTGAAAGGTTAAAATTGGCTCTACATTGAAAAATCTCAAACAATTATTTATCAAAAATTTTGAATGTCAGAATTGATTTAGACTTGCTAAAATAAAAAATTGGAATATGTCGAAATCAGAATTTCCAATTCAACTTGCACCCATAGTCAGAAGGGATGTGACTTTAGATGTTAATGTATGAAACACCCACAACCAACCACCGCTCAATGTAGATATCCAACTCTAAATCCTTATGGTATATTTACTTATTATTAGAAAAAGGGAAGTCATGAATTCATGAAACTTGGTAATTACGGAATAAGAAATTAGAATCACATCAACTACTCCTTCTAGTTTATATGATTCCACATTTTGAGGATATTTGATTACCCATTTTAACATGGAACTCATATAATATTTTTTTTATTACTTATATATAAGTCAATGCATGAAAAGTAAGAAATTGAAATCATTCATAATCCATGTGTTAGTATATACATAATAAGAAAAAAAATGTAATTATTTTGATAGCCATGCCATAATTTATCCGCAAAATAAAATTAACATATAAACCAGAAAGAGAAACAAACAGAAATTTGAGGGGAAAAAAAGAAAGAAAAAGGGAAAGCAGATGGATGAAAAATGTAAACATGGTAAATTGGGTTTAGCTAGGAAAGCAGTGGAAATGGATTTCTGCTCTCTAACTCTTGTTGGTCGCCGTGCGTTAGTATTAATTTGGAATTGGTACTAGATCCTCCATCATCTGTCTTACTCTGTCTCTGTCTGTCTCTATCTCTATCTCTATCTCTATCTCTATCCCTATCTCTGTCTCTGTTCCTCTGTTCCTCTGGAGGCTCTCCTGCTACACATGTGGCTGTCCACCTATATAGAAATGTAGTAAAAGTAGCATTATTCCTTATATAATTTAATATTACCACCAGTGCTGTCACTTTCCTCCTTTCTTTTGCCCTTTTTCGCTGGCAAAAGCACAGTCGTTGGCACACCATACCCACCTGCCAAAGCCCATATAAGATCATAAGACCTTCGACCAAAGAAAAAAGAGATCATAAGATCGGCCATGAAAGACCCCTCCTGCCTAAGAAGAAGCTATGTAGCACAGAGAGAGAGAGAGAGAGAAAGAGAGCAGGAAGAGGTGATGAGACAGTAGCATGACTGACAGAAGAGAGTGAGCACACTGAGGCAATTGTATAAAGCTATACCTTTGCGTGCTGCGTGCTCACTTCTCTCTCTGTCAGCCCTCCATTTTCATTCATTTTTCCTTCTCTTCTCTGTGTCTATCTTCTTCCTCCATCCTCTCTCTCTCTCTATTTCGCCATCTTATTCCCCTTCCACCTTCTTCCAGGTCTACTCTTTCTTTCTTTCTTTCTTTCAAGAAGATAAGAGAGAATCGAATTTCATTTCATTTATATGTATTATGCCTCTCGCTCTCTCTTCGTCTGTCTGCTTTTTATTTATATTTATTTTTCATTCATTTTCCCAGGCAAAGAGCCCCTCCTTCGTAGCCTTGAATCAATTTAGGGTACCTCTTTATCTTTTGCAAGATGATATGGTGAAGGGTAGATACAAAAAGCGACAATGAAAGGAAAGAAAACCCACACACACCTACATATGTTTATTTTTTCTTTTTTTATTCTTTTGAGGAATAAAAATATTTTTTCATGTATTACAATAGATAACACAACAACAATATCATGAAACATCCAGGCGGTATTCGGTACATCTACTATAATAATAACCTTATTTGAAGGCCAAGTTCGTGAGTCATTTCACCAAATTGTATTTCAAAAATCTAAACCGTCTATTTTTTAGGAACTTCACTTATATGTATGTATTTTCTTTTTTTTCCCTCTCGCATTATAATAATAAATATATTTAATCCCAATAATTATCTTATGTACCATTATCATGATTATTATGATAAGATGTAATGATGGAGTTTGAAATTAGCGTGACTTTTGATTGTCCTTTGCTAATCAAACTTCAAACTGATGAACTAATTCCTCCTCCCTATCCACTCTATGTACTACTGTTCACATTTTAACGGAAACACATGATCATTGTTCGTTGTTCATGCCTCACTCACGTATTATGAATAATATCAAAAATCAAAACCCTTCCTCTTCTTCTTTCTCATTCTTCTTCCCCCCATTCTCTCTTTAGACCATGCAATGCAAGCCTATATATGTCTCATAATTTTTTTTTATTGAATTTTATCTTTTGTTTTTAAATACAAGAATTGATAAATGTCAGGGCATATTTGGCTGTGATTTTCTTTTCCAACGGTGCCATCTGAAAACTGGAGAGAAACCATTATCTACGACTTCAAAAGGGTACTTTCTCAAAAACCCAGACCATAAATTCTTTCGTATATATATATTTATGGTCATTTTTGCCGATTTGATTTTCTTTTTGGGGTCTAATAATTTCTTTAATGTATATTTATGGCGATTTTGTTTTTGTGTATATTTCTGGTTTTCGTCGTCTCTCAAAGCGGCGGTGGAAGCTCGGTTTCAAAAGAGGAAACATAAACCCTTGTGGTTCACTCCTCAGCGCGGTGCCAAAAATGGAGAGAATTCATTGTTTCCCCATCGGCCAGATCTCAACTTTTCTAGTGTCATTAATGACACTTTCAAAGCTGAAACAATTTCCTTATTCAGGTCACTTCTTTATTCAATTACCAGATTTTCCTGGATTCTGATTTTATTGCCCTTTTTCGTAAGATCTTTGCTTCGGTAACAAGGTGAATATTTAGGGTTTCAGTTGTATAAGCTGGCCCAAATAGAGTTTTTGATTCTTCTTTACACTACTCCTATATATACATATATGTTGTTGGTTTTAATTTTTTTACTTTGACAGGAAGTACTTATTGTTGTTTTGGCTTCAAGGGCAACAGATTATTTGCTGCTTCCATTTATTTGCAGCAGGTTAATCAACAAGGTAACGGTTGTAATCTCCCTAATATTCATGATACTCTCTCAGTTTATTGATTTATTTTCTATCACTGTTGCCTTCTGTTTTTATAGCTTCGTTTAATGCTCTTCTTTTTAGTTTTTTGGTTGTAAATCCCTTTCTCTTTTTCTTTTTCTTTTTCTCCTTGGTTTTTGGGGGATGGGGTGGAGAAATTTTCCTTCAGTTTGCAGCACGGCCTGGTTACTAGTAGATGATGATGATCTCTCTTTTTTTCTTCTAGTTTTTCAAATTTTGTTATTATCGGAACATGAGAAGTTGATTTGGTAGTGAACTTTGAGTCATTGAAGAAGGTTTCAGAAATTGATTACGGATTAGTAAGCATGACATGCCTTTTTCTCGGCTTGTTATTGATGAACATTAACCATCTCTTCTTTACCATTATATACTTGTTTCTACTCAATACTATTCTACATAAAATAAATTTGCAGGTACTGTTTTTATATCTTTAAACTAATAATGTATTTAAGATGAAAGTCACAAGATCTGCTAATCTGTTTCAGAAATTGAATAATGAGATGCTCATTCAATACATGATCTTGCTGATGCAATACAAGCAAGAAGAAAATAGAAAGGCTTTAATTTTTGTAACAAATAAAAATGATAAAATTTCGTTTTAGTTATTCTCTCTTTTGGGTTTTAGGTTGGTTGTGTTGGAAGGATGCTTTCCATGTATATGTGTTTCATATCACAATATTGGTCTTGCTTCATATGAGTTTTATGTCTTTGGAGTGGTCGTGGACGATTTCACCTTTCCTCGAGGTCTATCTTAGCTTTGAGACCCACCAAAATCCCCAAGTTACCTTGGCAGAAAGGCAATTTAAGTTTTGGAACAAGTGGTACTCTTTCAAGTGGCCTTGATTGGTGATAATTAAATGGTGGTCTGATATATATTTTTGGGTTTTATGATGATGAGGAGAGTTGAGAAATTAGGAAGAGAATGGGATACATGGATTATAACCCTGAAAAGTTTAAAATAGTGTTAAACCCTAATCACAGTAGAATGCTAGTTGATTGGTCTTGAATTTGGAAAAGTAGTGCATCAGTATCATTGTTTAACTTTTGACTTAGCATATGCTAAACTGTTCGTTATGTCATGCATCTTAGCATCTGCGTGACCTTATCTTCCGTACAGTTGTAGTAGATATTTCCATCTTACCATCTGAATAATAATTGGCTGGCTTGCGAAGACATTTTTTGGTATCCTGTTGTATATGTATATTAGTTGATATTCTTCATGTTGTAGAATATATATATATACTTTTATTTTAATTATCTATTTATCTTGATTTGGTTGGATTACATAAAGTTCCTATTTGACTGCAGAAGCATATCATGGAAGAGGGCATGTCAAGCACGGTTTCAAACAGTGGGATGAAAATGAATACTGTAGGAGGAGTATCAGATTCAAGCCTGGCTGCTAATGACTCAACAGATGGTGCTTGTAAGCGTGTGTCTAAGAAGTTCAAAGGAGTTGTTGAGCAGCCAAACGGGCATTGGGGTGCCCAAATATACGCCAATCACGAAAGGGTTTGGCTTGGCACTTTCAATTCTGAGATTGATGCAGCCATGGGTTATGACAGTGCTGCACTCAAGCTTAGGGGTAGAGACTGCCATCGCAACTTTCCGTGGACAGAAACCACCTTTGAAGAGCAGCACTTTCAGAATCAGTACGCCACAGAAGTTGTGCTCATTATGATCAAGGATGGTTCCTACCAGACCAAGTTCTCGGAATTTCAAAGAAGCCGGTCTGGAATTGAGAGTGTGGGGGCTGATGTTCAATTTGGCAGCTTAGCTAGGGTACAAAGCAGCAACGGAAAGGGAGAGCTGTTGGAAGACTTTCTTTTCCAAAAAGAGCTGACGCCAAGCGATGTGGGTAAGCTCAATAGACTTGTGATACCAAGTAAATATGCGTGTACCTACTTTCCCACTGTTTCTGAAGCCATAAGGGGAAAGGTGGAGAGTTGCTCCAGCCAGCTGACGTTTTATGATAGGATGATGAGGTCATGGACATTCCGGTTCTGTTTTTGGAAGAGCAGCAAGAGTTTTGTATTCACCAAGGGTTGGAGTAGGTTTGTTAGGACACACGATTTGCAGGCCAGAGACACCATCAGATTCTTGCAATGCCGGTACAAGCAATCTGGGGACGGTAATTATAAGGAGCAGCCTCACTCATTCTGCATGATTCAAGTTAAAAAGGATGGTGGTCGAAGCAATGATGTGAGCTGTTTGGTTGAGAATAATGCTAATAGTTACCAATTTGATGGTGTTATGAATGATGGAGGCATGATGGATTTGGATTATAAGTTTAAAGTTGAAGCTGTAAGCCCAAATAATCATGAAGATGAAGATGGAATCCTCCTAGCAGATCAGAAGAAATGTTTCAGGCTCTTTGGAGTGGAAATCAGTGATGTCGATGTGCTTTCTTCACATTCGATCATAGTATAGTTCACCCTTCAAATGGTTCAGAAGTTTTTGTTTGAGCTTTTGCAGGGAATAGGGTTCAGTAGGTTCTCATCTGGTATACTAAACATGCATCCTTTGAAATTTAAGGATGTGAGATCAAGCTAACTGTTCAATTGTTAATTGATATTGATGTCATGGAACTTTAAATTTTTACTATAACATTATGCATGCATATGTTTGCATCTGTCTGTCTGTCTGATATGTTTTTTTGTTAAGGATGGATGATGATTGCCTGCGGCTAGCTAGGGCTGAGTTACAGTAATTTTTGAGCTGTCTTTGGTGCCCTTTGTACAGTCTGAGTTGTGTTTTGTTGTGTTTACGTTTATTTTGGTTCTGATTCTGGAAGAAAGCGATTTTGTATTTCAGGCATGTGTACTAATTTGAATTGGATGCAGTTGCTGTTTTGTTCGTTGGTATGCCTTGCGGCTTTCTTAGATATTGTGAGTTGCAAGTACGTTTTGCAAGCGAATAGTGAAACATGGGCCTAGGGCACGTTTGGGAGTGATTCTAGATAGGACAGAATCACTTTTGGGAATAACCATCTTTCATGTGATTCTTCATATAATCACTTTAAGTGATTTTAAGTGATTTTGAGCATAATCACCTCCCATGTTCTTATCCATAAAATCACTTAAACCGTTTAAGGTGATTATTTGGATAAATAATTCTCCATAAAAGTGTTTTTTTTGCTTATCTAAAATCACTTCCAAACGAGCTTAAATTATGTTGTCGTGTTTTGTTGTTTTCTTTCTTTAATAGCCAGTTCAGTTGGGTTGGGCCTATGAAATTCATGAGAAGTTATTTTTTAAACCCAATCTGCATCATCTAGATTCTGGATATTGGGGAACGATAACCAAGAGTTAATGTTGGATTTTAATCCTCAATGAATTCGAACTTGATCCTTGATGGAAGTGACTGCAGGTACTAACTTTATTGGATAATTTAATTGTCACTATTAATTAGTACATTCGTTATTATTAATCGGCTATGGTTGTTGGTTGTTATGATTATTATGTTGTTGACATCGAATTGAACTTGCGATCATTCAATTTAACAATTGCCTTTTTCTTCTTCTTCTTTATTTTTAGAAATAAACAATTGTTAAAAATATATGTTAATTTATTCAAAATATTAAGGGTTTAGTAGTTCCACGTGGAATGTGGCAAAATCAACTATACGCCCACGTGGAATGTGGCAAAATCAACTATACGCAAGTAAATGCTAGCTACAGAAGGTTGTCCATCACATCACACTTTAAAGTTGTGGGTCGGTGGTGGAAGATGAAGAGATAATAATCGTGGGTAAAAGGACATGCGTACAAGTGGTATTATGCTAGTGGTAATTCTTGAGGTGGAATTAATGGGGTTAATTGCGTTACAAATTATAATGTTTAAAATTAATATTGAACCCTACGGAAATGGATTTTGGAATGTGGGGGCAACTGTGAGTTTGGAAGCACTTCATGACAAACACTTATAAACACTAACTCTACATAGATAAATAAGTTTAAAATATAATAATGACGAAAATTTACGTTATAAAATTTATAAAGTTCATTGTTTAAAAAGTCATAGTTGATAAATTTGTTAACGATAGAGATGAAGAAGGTGAATGTCATCATGTGCGATATTGATGGTGTGGTAAGGTGGTGGCAAAGGGTTGGTTGTGGTGGAGGCGGCGATGGTGGTGATAGCAGATGTGTGGTGGTGGTGGTCATGGCAAAGTTGTGGTAGAAGTGGTTGTGACGGATGGTGGTTGGGTTGTAATATAAACAATAATTTGAATATAGCTAGTGTTGACGTGAGTCTCCTAATTAATCAATGAAGTAAATCATTGTACAATTAGGAGATACTTTCCTAATTCTTTACTATATCTAATTTCTTGTAAAACCCTCATATGTAAACTCCTATATATCTCCTTATGGAGAAGAACAAAATACAACCTAATACATTCAAACCACATTCATATTTTAGCAGCTAGTTTACATGCCTAGAAAAGAAAACCAAGTTATAACGACAAAATTAACAATATAAAGGAAATACGAGTGCAGACTTTTAGGTTATATTTCAATTTCATGTCGTGTGTATTTGTGTTTTCACAACGTTCTTTTTCTTCTCCAGCAAACAAAATCAACTCTACTAGAAAAAGCCTTTTTAATCTCTCTTATATAAGTCAAGTAGAGTTGTCTTGAGTCGCGACTAGCTATTAGGTAAATAGTAATTTAAGGGAATGCATATATGGATACTGTGGCATCTGCATATGCAGAGATGATATGATGACATGATGAAAATGGGAGGGAGATTTTTAATCCACGTCTTTATCATGTCTCCCCCTCGTCTGACGCAATCCCACTTCCTCTCCATTCTCTTTCCCTTAGCTACCTCACATCAACATGGAGAACCAGACCCCACCAAAAATATTGGTCAAATACCAATTAGTCTCTGGCATTGGCAAACGCTCGTTTTTCGTTTTCAGATCTTCTTAGACACGACTGGCTTTTTTTAACCTATTGACACGATCACAATAAGTTAAGTTAGCTGGTGCCTGGTGGAAATTCTCCCAGCCAAAACTCCACTTCTCTCAATATCAATTAAATTAAAAAAGAAGTTGACAGATAAAATAGATTTGGATACAAACTTAGGCAGTCATACATATTCATAATTCTGATTATAGTGAAAAGTTGTTTATGGAAATAAAAAAACTTAAATAAAATGCATTTTACAAACTAAGATCTATTTAGACTAAGTGCCCGTTTGACATTGCCTATTTGGGGTGATAAGTATTTTTCAAAAAAATTGGGAAGCTTAGCCCTTTTGTTAAACTAGGACAAAATCATTTATTGTTAAAAATTGTTGTAAGAGAAAGCTATAAGGGAAAGCAGCTAATTATGTGCTTTCATTTTCTGATTATGAAGGAATCAGTTTCGAATAGGCACTAGATGCATGAATCATTTTCTAATTAGGCGGAAATTAGTATCAACACTTTTAACAAAAAGTTTACCAAATGCTAAACTGCTTTATCTCATAGCTAATTTCTCTCACAGCAAATTTGACAGCGATTATTTTCACAACACAACAATGTCAAACTGGCCCAAAGATTTTTTTCGCTCATGGGCCTGGGAAAGATGGGCCCTCTGAAATTGCAAGTCAACAAGGATAAGCTCGACCACATAAACAAACCGAAGGATTGTTTACCCCACTGTGGGTGTAAATAGTGACTTGCTTCTCCGAGAGAGCAAGATTCTGGGGTCGAGGTAAAGTCGGAATAAGCATTGCCCAAGCCACCAAGGATCGCCTTTTCCACCGCCCTTTATTGTTGGAATGCGGCCGAGACTCACCCTTTCCACCGCCCATATTGACCAATCACAAGTAAAAGCTTGCCAGGAAAGCCACATAGCTGATTGGATGCATGTTAGAGCATGACCATGATTTTTTCTGCCAAGAGGGATGCGAGGTGGTGTATAAATGGAAACAAAATAAAAGAAATAAGGGTCCTAACCAAGCCCGATGGCTACTCAAATGCACCATTTTATCTTTTTATCATGTACTTCCTAGTTTGCAATACTTCTCTTAAGGATTTAGGATAACTCTTGTTAGAAAAATCTCAGAAATCTTTATGAGTTCGTGGGCAATCACCATTTCGATCGTTCATTTTATATATAAACAAGTTTTTCATTGTTTTCAAAGTTAACTCTTTGCACCATCACATCCATACAGGTTACCCCGAATATCCGCATTTCTTGAAATCTGAGCCTAATGAGCTACCAAGTCCAATGTCACCACCTAGCTATTGAGCTTGGTGACATTATCCAACCGCATGTTCATTCTAAAGGCCTTGCGGTCAAGGCCTAGAACCTTACGACCAAGAATATATTCCTATTTCGGCCATAGTTGCTCGAAAAGAAGTCAAGATCAATAGCGCACCCATCACTCATTCTTATCCACGACAAAGTCTGATCGTGGTACTGGCACGTCGCGCACAAGTATGTGTCACCAAATCCGCTCCATCATTTTATTATTAAGTAATTCACACGTGATCGAAAAGATTTTTAGATCAACAAGATCATTATTTAAGAATACTAGATATAACATTTTTATTTAAACGAAGGTAAAGATTTCATAATCAATAACTTGAAAATAAACGGGAAAAAAATCACTTTTGGTCTATGACTTTAGTTTATCACTTTTACCATTAAAGTGCATTTAGTTTCAATTTCATCATCAAACTATTGCTAGCAAGTCTTGTTACGTTCAATTGGCAGCTTTAAATGGTTAAAATATCGCAATATTATCGATAATATCGCGATATGAACTTTCAAAATTAAACAGTTTAAACTCAGCGCACACAGTGGGGTTCGAACCCCTCTCCACTCCGAAATATTGCAGCCACTTAACCATCACGCTAGTCATCACTTTGTGATAATAAACTATGGAATATGTATTTATAATATATGCGAGCTGTTCTCAAAATAGAAATTAACATAATTACTTATTGTTTTATATTGTTGATCAGTTACTTAATTACTTAATATAATTTATTTCTTTTCTATTTAATCCATTAATATTATTGATTATTTAATTATTCATTATAAGTACTTACATTACTAAATTCCCCTTCAAATTGTTGCTTAATTACTTAAATCTCTATAATTATTTTCTTTGTTTACTACTTAATTCTTCCTTTGATAAATTTATTTATGTTCTTAGTTAATTTTCAATCTTCACTATTATTTTTTAAGTAAGGTAAAGTGCCTAATTTTCATGAAAAGTCAAGTTGGTTTAGTTATTTTTCAATTTTTGATAAATAATAAATATAAGAACGTGTACCATGTCCAATGAATAATGTGAAATAAGGTTACACATGTATCTTACCATGCAATTTATAAAGTGTAAAATATTGTACTAAAAAATGATAAATAAATTACTATGGGGTATTTAATTCTTTTCATTAATTACTCCATATTTTCTAAATCACAAAGTTTA